AAGCACTTGACCCACTCATATTTCCTAGAGCCATGGAAGCTATATATTATGCTTTTCTATGTCTACATGCTCCACCTTTGTAGAAACTCTCATGAGCATTGGGGATGTAAATGTTGGGCTTCGTTCTCCATCCACACCTACCTATATTGATAGAATAAAAGGCTATGCAGATGGGCACTGAAGCATAATGAATATGATTCAAGAGGTGTAAAATCAACAACACTAGTGTATAACTGTAGTGTATAATATGTCCTGTACATTTATAAAGATACCATACTATGTTCTAGTGTGTGTTTTCTAGGTGGAATGTCATCTTATTTGATTTCTCCCATGATTAATTCACTTTCAGAAAAACATGCCTTGGGCAATCATTTTTTAGCATAAGCCTTTTCCCTGTTGCCGAGAGGTAATAGTGAGCATCACTAAGGGTAATTAAATATAATGGGAGTAGCCACTGAAGAACTGCAAAGGCTGAAATTAGGGAAAGGAAAGATTAAGATTGCACATTCCCAATGGGAAAACTCTCCAACTTTTTGAAAAAGGATAGGGAAGCATGATCCTAAAAAATGTGAACTAACGAAGCAGCTATGAATGACTGCATTGATAGCAGATAGACAAGACGATTTTAGGCAAGCAAGTCTTCTTGAAAAAATACGGGTCATAATTTTAACTACTAAGTCATGTTGCTTTTTGAAGTTACAAAGTAATGCTCTTCCCTAAAAATAAATAAATAATAATTTATATAACCACGGATGTAAATGCTCCTTACAAGATTAAATCAGAGAACCTTCGAGAAAACTGAAAATGTGGACAGCCTCTGAGTGCATGTGGACATCTTGACAGGCAAGGAAAACGTCTAAGAAAGTGAAATACTTACCATTTCTTTGGGGCTGGAAACCTGCAGCGCTCTTTCCTTTGGGAGTTCCACCTCTCAGTGGTTGCTCCTTCTATAGATAAGACAGTCTCTGCTTTGAGAGATGATTAATCATGGCCTAATTAACCTCCCAATATGAAATATTTATTTCAACTGTTTACCCTTCCCATGCTGTCCTTGAGGGTGTAATACCATCAGGACTGCCCAACTTTTTGAAATGTAGTGCATGATGGGAAGACAATGAGATGGTTAGAAGTGGTAAGTACATAATGGTAAAAAGGAGTAGCAGAACTGCATTCTATTAACAAAACTGTATAGGTAGATCTGAACAAAATCTAAGGAATCTACTTATAAAAGCATGTTTCTTTTTCTGAAATAGGATTTTGTATCTTCTGCATAATGCACTCACCAATTTATTTAGAATTCACATTTAACTTTGCTCAGTTTTACCAACTGCCTTGGCCAAGTGAAGTGATTACTATGATAAAAAGCTGACTAGCAGTTGTAAGTCAGGGTGAGATCCAATATTACGTGTTTTCAATCATAAAATGCCCAAATGTTCTTGAAGTTATTAAACTATGCTCAGAACTTGCTCTGGATGCAACTGCCAAAATCATAGAAAGTCAGAATCAACAGAGAGACTTCATATCCCAAGCCCAGAAATATTAAAAGTCTTAAAGGGACTGATTTATATTCTTGAGAAGGTAAAGTTTTGCCACTATTAGAGAGGATGGAGGGCATCATCATCTACTGGACAAAATTTTCTAATTGCCTCCACAAAGTTATCAGATGTATGTCAGTCTCACTTTATTTTGACAGGTTAGGATCAGGGACCCTGTGCTGTGGAATCATCAATGAATGTGGTGAGCTTTCATTAACAATGAGGCTATAGGGGAAAGGCATGCATCAGAATCTTCAGGGTTCCTAAAACAGAATATTTTATAACTTAATTTTATATTCAAAAAGCAACAACAAATTAGTGCTGTTAGGCTATGAACCACAAAAAGCAAAATTTTATAAAATCCACACTAGTTGAAGGATGAAATTAGAAAATTGGAACACATTAAAATGTGCTTATAAGAAATTGAAAATTATTGGGCCACAGAATTTTTCTGAAAGGTTGTTAGATGGTCAAGGAACTCTGGTCATTGAATTACTCTTTTTGCTGTTTAAAGAAATAGATGTTGGCTTCTCGTTTTGTGTTAAACCAATGGCTGGTACTCAGGAGACATATTGATAGTTTGATACTATAAAATATTTAAATAATGCCTTCATTCATACATGAAAGTATACCACATATGACCATAGAATATAATGAGGAATTCTAAAGAAAATTTTAAAGATGATCAGATGAATAAAGTAACATTTACTCATATGTGTGGACAGATTCTATTACAGTAAGAACTAAGTCCACTAATATTAATGTCAACTTCAAATAAATACACAAACCTTAGAAGTAACATTTTTCCCCACAAATACTTACTCCATTTCTGATGTCACTTCCTTCTATACTATTTTGACTGTATGATACACAAAGTCAATAACATATATTTAGACAAGTTATTAATGCAAGCCAGAAGTTCTACTGCAAATCAAGAGGAATATAATATATGAAACTAAAAGAGCAGTTTACTTAAGCATCCCCTTAGGAAGGAACTCTACTACCATCGATTTTGGGATTGGAATTTTTTGGGACTGACTGATTTTATGTTAATACTATGCATGCTAAAAAGTTGTGTGACTTGTAACTGTTTATGGGCTCATGATCTTGGATGCAGGAAAGGACGTAGTTTTACTAAACAATATAAAAAAAATTAGTGAAATGGAGGAATGTCCAACATTTATCTCAGCACTGTAGGACAGACAAATATTCTGACACTGTGTTCTCTTGGGACATTAAAAAGAGAACACTGCATGACTGAAGAGTTGACGTCTGCAGGACTTTGAATACTTGGTGTCTGCTTTCTTTCTTTGGATGATGATACCAATTGCATATTAATAACATTTTGGTTTTTATTTCTTCAAAACATGAAAACAAAAAATGAAGTAGATGACAATGAGAAGACAGTAAACATTCCATACTGAATGTGCTGTATCACTAGTGATGAAATCAGAAACAATTAGAAACTTTATTTGTCTGTGTCAGTAATGTGTACCATTTATAAGGAACAGCACAATTAGTGCACTTTCCCCCCTAAAGCTGTGCACAATACACACAAAATAAAATAATCAAACAAAATAAAATTTTATACAACCATAATAATAACAATCCGGAACAACCAGAATCATAGTTTCCTAGAATATAAAAATTTAAAAAGCAAACAAACCAACAGCTTTCAAACGGAAATTGACCAATGCCAGAATTTCTTAAAGTTCTCTATGAAAATTTGCTACAGGATTATTGACATTCCTAATACAGCTAAAAAATGAGTGCAAAAATCTTTCTAATGTTTAAAAAACTTACATTCCTTGAGTATATTTACTTGGTGCTTCTAGGCTAGCTTTCC